CATGGGCGGCACTCGAGTAGAGTCGACAGACGCATCCCTCGAGTTCCGAGATCGGCGGGGTTCTCCGTTCCTTTGACATGGTGCCACTGAGTGGACTCGGACAGCTTCAAAATCTCTGTGACTCTGTTGTGGACGAACAGTTTTCGCCGCTTTCGATTACGGATCCAGTGGAGTACATCGGTAGAATCCGTCCAGAAGAAAACTGTGGCTTTGGTAAGCGTCAGCGACCGCGAGACAAAACTCATAAGCCGGGCACCGCAGAGAGCGGCCATAAGCTCCAGTCTTGGTATCGTCAAAGTTGGAGCCAGTGGGGCTAGCCGGCCTTTGGCAATAACCAGCTTGGCCTCTTCTCCCATCACCAGATAGATGACGGCACAGTACGCGTTTTCAGAGGCATCGCAGAAGACGTGGAAGACCATGTCGAGGCCCTTGCCTCCCATTGTCAGCTGTCTAGGAAAGGACACCGACTGATTGGAAGCGTTTTCCCACCAAGTCTGCACATCGGCCTGCAGGCCATCGCCGAGGGGGTCGTCCCACTGGCTGCCAGCGGCATCTCGCCAAGTGCGCTGGAAAAGTATCTTTCCCCAGATCAGCCAGGGTGTGAGCAGTCCCAGTGGGTCAAAGGTTTTGGCCACGGCCGATAGCAGTTCTCTCTTTGTTGAGGGACAGGGGAACTCTGGAACCCGTACTGCAAGCTTGTCGGATTTCGTGTCCCAGATCAAGCCAAGAACTGATGCCTCGGGAGCCTCATCTCCAGTGACTCGCACCTTGTGGAGAACCATGTTGGCCTCAGAGAAAATATTCTGAGTTCGAGAGATGCCCTGCTCAGCCGCCTGTCGGCTCTCAAAAGGAAGGCAAAGATCGTCCATGTAGCTGCCGGCCTGAAGCAAGGTACAAAGCTGCCCGTCAGAGTCAGTGTACTTGCTCAGGTGCACGTTTATGGTCCTCAGCAGCATGAACGGCGAGCACGCCAGACCGAAAGGGGCACGAGCAAATCTCAGCCGCATTCCCCGCCAGAAGAACTGGAGGTACTGTCGATCTTGGGCGCTCACAGATACCTGATGAAAGGCGGCCTTGATATCAGCCTGGCAGCCGACCTTTCCAGAGCGAAAGTTGAGAACGACAGAAGGGAGCTTTGCCAAAAGATTATCTCCCGCATCCAGGTAGTCATTGAGACTCCGTCCGATGCCATCAGTCGCGGAACCGTCAAAGACAATGCGGAGCTTGTCCTTTCGAAAGATCCCGTGATGAGGGAGGTAGAACTCTCTGATCTGGGGGTCAGCGCACCCCAGAGTCGGGGCATCTGGCGGCTGGACAGGGCACTCCTGTTCACAGGGCTCAACCACAGAATCCTTCAGCATCTGCTGGATCTGCTCGTCATACTTGTCGGCCTTGCCGGGGCTTAACCGCTCAGTCATGCGACAGGTTCTCACCCATGTCGAGCTGCGATTGGATACCGGTCTCTCATCAGAAGTCCAGATCAGGGGCATCTCGTACCGTCTCTCACTCTCGCTCCATGTCGGCAGAGGGAAGGAGTTAGAGTCGATCAGCTCCGTATCTCGGATGCCAATGGAGTCGAGGTCCCACATGCACTGGACCTGCCGACTATGAAAGCACTGGCGTGAGCGCTGACCGCCCGGGTCTCTGCCGTAGCATCCGTGCAAGACGTAGCCGAAAATGGTCTCAATGGCTCTCAGCCCATCAGCCAGCTCCCTCTGGTCCCACAGGACAACCTGATACATGTTATCAGTTCCTATGAGTATGTCCACTTTCCCACCCTGGAAATCATCAGCCATCCGGATCTCGGAAGGCACCAGAGGCGGTTTAGCAGACGGGAGCGGCGAGCACAGCAAGTCTGTGCTCCACATATCCAGTGTGACGGACGAGCCACCGAAACGGCTCTCGAGTTTGACCTGGACCTGGTCGTAGGTGCGGGGATGCTCGGCCTTCTCCTGGAACCCGAGGCAGGCAAAGGTACCGGAGCCTGTCACAGGAAGTCCCAATTCTTGCGCCAGAGAGCGCCTGATATAGGAGGCGTCCGATCCTCCATCAATGAGAACACGAGCCGCTGTCTGCTGGCCGTGGGGACCTGTAGCCATGACAACAGCAGTCTGGAGAAAGCTCCCATCAGTGGAACTTACATTGTACCGGTGATGGCTGGGCGGCTGAACCTTGTGCGTCTGAGTGACCGCACCAGAGCCCGAAGCCGAAGCCGGGTTTCCAGGAGGCGAGAACGGTTCAGCGCCTGGACGCAGCTCAGAGCCGGCAGACGCCGAGCGCGGTGACACAAACTCTGCGTTGTGTAGCAGCGAATGGTGCGGGCGGCCACACTCAGCGCACAGACTGCCTTGACACCGCCTGGCCAAGTGACCAGTGTCCAGACATCTGAAGCAGGCTCTCCTGGATTTGGCAATCTTCCAGCGATCACCTACGGCCATTTTCAGAAAGCTCGGGCAGTGGTCGAGCCTACGGTGACCTTGCCCGCGTGGACACTGGAACACCCTCTGTGGGTTACGTGAGCTGGTTTTGTGGGTCTCACGCTGGGCATTTAAACTGGTGGTCACCGAGAGGGTCGCCGGTGGATCAACAGACGGTCGATGGTGCACTGCACCCTTGGCGGACTCTCTGATGCGAATTTCGTTGTTTAGAAAAGTGAGAAAATCTTCAAATCTGTCAGTCGCTCGCCGGGCCCACTCCAGGCGCCAGTCTTCAGGAATCTTTTCCTTTGCCATGGGCAGCAGCAGGCTGGACAGACTCTCAGAGGATACTCCGAGAGTGCAGAGAGCTCTTGTATGAGCGGACAAGTGATCGATGAACGATCGCATGGCTTTCAAGTCGCCCTGGCGAACTGAGGGCATGTTGAGCAGCTCCCTCAGGAGAGTCTCTCTCCGCACATCCTCGAGCTCGAATCGCTCCTTGAGACTTGAGAGCCGACACCGCCTGCACGTACCCGTCACCCGTGACTGGGATGCCCTGGATGGCCCTCAGTGCCGCTCCGGCAAGATGAGACTTTAAGACCACGAATTTCTGCACGTTGGCATAGCACTGGTTGTTGTGTACAGAAATAGAAAAGAGTTCCCAAAACTCAGGCCATTTCATCACCTCACCGTTGAAAGTGGGAATTTTTACGGAGAGGGATGTTTTCAAATCGGCGCTACCAGCTGTGTTCAGTGACTCAGAGGCCCTGGATTGAGCTTCTTCAGCTCTCTCGAGGCGAGCCAGGAGGCGAGAACCGAGGAAGGCCTCATCCTCCAGAGTCTGAACATGATTCGTCTCATCGGCTTGACCCTGTTTGTCCAGCTGGACCTGCAAGCCCTGCAACTCAGTTTGGATCTTCTCCACATGGTGGAGTTTTAGGGCAAGTTGGTCCGGGTCTAGCGCTTTCCGATCTCCCTCCCTGTAGGCTCGGAGATCGTTGCACGCTTTAGTAGCCTTTGTGCGCAGACGCGACCTAGCAGCCAGTAGCTCCTCCATGTTTGAGTGAAATGGGAACTAAATCAAAGTACAAAGTGGACTGTATGTTCAAAAACAAACCATCAATTTACCCAGTGGACTCAACAAATTTAATGTCCGGTAGCCATGGGGACTGTGTCCGCCACTGAATAAATGATCCGGCCCCGGTGGACTATGTTGCAATTCCAATTCCAAAGAAGGTATAAATACACCAGGCGGATGTATTTTTGGTCAACAAAACCCAGACAAACAAGATGATCACTTGCCAAAAAAACCGGCTATGAGGGACTCGATATGAACAGCGACCAATCGCAACTGGCGGAGAAATATGCTAGTGAATCTCGAGAGACGCTCGAGGAAACCCAAGAAAATACCGCCCATGAGTAGGCCGACGGCCGTGTGAAATAGCGACCTTGCAAGGCACGCTCAAATGTTACGAACAGCTCCGTGAATATGCTCGCCGAACAGGCCGCTCAGACTAGTAAGGCTTACATATTCACGGCGCTGTGCTATCGGTGGTTGGGGCCAAAAAGCGAATGAGGAACGAGCCGGACAGACTCAGTCCCAGATTTAGATCCTCGAATGTATATGCGTCGCCGAGTAAGCCGACAGCAAGCCTCTCAGACGAGTCTGCCGACGTCCCCAGCAAACGCATATAACATTCGAGGTCCCAACGCACCAGCCGCGACAACAGACATTGCCCGACTGCCCTCCGCCGGCGCGCCCTCACCCGACCTCACCTCACAATCACGTGGTCAGCAGCCGACCAATCACTGCACGAGTCCGCGCCGCACAGCCCCGCTCCGGCGAGAGATGCTGTGCCGCAATACAGCGGCCGCGCGTCGGCCGAGGAGAAATACGGGCGGCCGAGCCGACAGAAGCGGGCGAAAAGACAACTAAATTGACAGTTCTAACACCCCCCCCCCCCCCGGGCTGCGGTGGTTGGGATTACCCCCCGGGCCCGGCCGGGTTAAAAGATGGTATGGCAATGCCATATCAACTTTTCAGGGTAAAAGCTATGAAATTTAAGGATTTCAGTTTGATAAGAATATAAAATATGAGTTAAAAATGTTTTAATCCATGAACAATGAGTTTCAGGGAAGAAGGCAAGAACCTAATCCACTGCATACTTGGTTTGATTAAGATACCTAAAGCTCAGATTTTCCTGTGTCAACGTTTCTGCATATAAAGCAATGTTTCAAGCGACTGACGCCATACCAACTTTGGAAGGAATTCTCCACCCATGACCTCGGGTGTATAAGGTTGGGTCACGACTCACGGGTGCAGTTTATAGGTACTGATTCAATAACCTGTCACACAATGTTTGGTGTGACTCGCGTCCGAAAATATAGACATACACTAGTTCAATTTGCTCCCATTGACTAGTGGAGAAGTCGCAAGGTTGATCCGACCCTGTGCCACCGATATCGAACATCCAATAAATATTTGTTAGCGCTACATTGGCGAGTGCGGGTCGCCGTGTTTGTTCGGCTGGGCCGGGGAGTCCCGCGGCTCCCGGGTCACGGCGCAGCGGCCCGGCCTGCAGAGCAGTTGGCTCCGGGGCTGCGGGCAGCGGCCGTGCCAACTCAGTCGTCACCCTGCTGGCGTGCTGTTCGGACCGCGCTGGTGAACAGGGCACGCCGGGGCCCCGGCGCACCGTCCCGATATGGCACAGGTGAGGGACGCCGAGACCAAGTAGGGGGAGGGCTGGCTGCGGGGGGATGGTGGACTCGCCATCTATTCTACATATCGTCATCTGCGTGTCATGGATACCCCTATAATGACACGCAGATGAATACGGCGGACCCTACCACCCGTAGGTGGGGGGGGGGGGGGGCGTTTCGGCCCCATCCCCCTATGATCTCGGAAAGCTGCCGGCCGATTTTCAAAATTCAAACGTTGTTGGATAGCTCTACTACGGAACTACCTTGTGTCCCAATTTCATTGACCTGGGTCCAACCGATGACATCACAGGTTAGGTCAAAGTTAGAATTTTCACCGTTTACAGGCATTAAGAAAAATGTTTTATAATCGAGTAAAAGGCATTTTTTAGTCATCGATGGAGACTTGTTCGTGAAACACATGGTTTGATATTTGGGGTCACTGATACCAGCTCAGGCCACAGAGGTCAGGTCACTGAGGGTCACAATCCGAAAGTGTTGTGTGATGCATGTTTTATGGTCCATTTTACATCACAAATGCGATTATTTTTGCGGCGTTTTGTGGTTTGCGGCGGGCGGCCGTTATTTGCGGTTAGCGGCGGGCGGCGGGCGGTCGTTTTTTGCGGCGTTTAGCGGTTTGCGGCGGGCGGCCGTTTTAGCGGCGGTTTGCAGCGGGCGGCCGTTTTTTGCGGCGTTTTTTGTGGTTTGCGGCGGGCGGCCGCTTTTTTGCGGCGTTTGCGGTTGACGGCGGCCGGGCGTTATTTGCATTGTTGCGGTTTGCGGCGGGCGGGCGTTTTTTGCGGCGTTTTTTGCGTTTTTTTCTGCGGTTTTCGGCGGGCGGGCGATTGTTTTTTTTGCGAAGTTTGCGTTTGCGTTTTGGGCGTGCGTTTTGCGGTGTTTGCGTTTGGCGGCGGGCGGGCGGTTTTTCACAATTAAAGTCCCAACCTTCGGATCCGCAGAGCTGTTCGACAAGCGCTGCCCGGGCCTACATCACAAATGCGATTATGTGGGTCAGGCAGCCATTGGGGCCAGCTTAGGTCACGTTTTGGTGAAGGTCAGGTCAAGGTCAGGTCAAATTAGGTCAAATTTCAAAGTTGATATTTTTGCATAAAATGGGTATCGATTCGATGCAGCTCGTCACGGGGCCAGTTCAATGGTGGTCTTTGTTTTGCGTTACCGGCTACGTGTTCTAGAATTGCTAAAAATTGAGTTCAAAAATTTGACATCATCAATTTTGAACAGTTTTTTCGCTATAACTTGGCCAAAAAAGGAGGTATCGATCTCAAATATGGTATGTATATAGAAGGGCGCAGAGACTATCATATACATTCCTTTTTTTCCGAAATTCGGAAAAAAATTTTTGGATTTGTTTTGCGTTTAAAAAAAACTTTTTTTTTTAATTTTGGGGGGTCAAGAATAAGATCCCAAAATATTGAAAATCCATCCATCCATCCAGATAGCAGTTTTGTAGCGCAGGCTTTTGTCTACATGACTATATAAAGAACTTTGAAATTGCTTGGTAACTGTAGCTTTTGTGAGCGTTTCAAGATTTCATGTTTTTTGCTCATTTTTGCTCGAACACGACCTCAGTTTGACCACAATAACTCCTGACTTAAGGTGACCAAAGACTTGAAATTTTGTGTGAAGGTGTCAAATTGATGCCTGGAAAGGTACTGAAAATTTGGTGGCGCTGCGCGCCGGCGTTTTCTTGCTATTCAGGAAAAACCACAGGGGGCCAAATTGCCCCCCCCCCCAGCGGGGCGAGGGTTAAGTTCTCATGTCAACCGGTGACCTTTGAGGCCAGGCCATTTTATTCGTGCTCTTGCGCGTGGAATGGTATACATGTTTTTTTGTTCGGTTGAGGTCAACTTAATTAAGGTGTTGACCTCGGGTCAAGGTCAAATCAGAGTTACTCAGGCCACGAAACTGATTGAAGGAAGGAGCTCATACATATCATTCGATTTGGCAGATTTTCCCGAGTCCATTAGTGGTCTGCCCGACTCGCTCGCTCAATTTTGTCGTGAATTATTGACGAAAACTCCTCTTGAGCCCTTAGTGTACCTATAGTCATAAATGACGTGACGCAAGGTCAACAATGGAAAAGTGAAACATCGGACCATGCAAAGAGTACATTAGGTAAATCACGGTTCCATGTGCTAAAAGTAGTTAGACTTCAATACCGACGCTAAAATAACAGTTTTCATATTTCCCCATTGACTTAGGTATAGGGGTGAGGTCACGTAACTGGCCTGTCCTCAGGTCATCCTTAGGAAAAATCCGGGATATACGAGTTCTGAAGACCTCTGATGGATATAACATTCTGTAAGTTTTGTCTCCGCGCGAAACCTTCTCCGGCACTGAGGCCGTTGCAAAGTTGCGACGTTAGGACCGTGCAGAGGTTCACTTATGACGCCATAGGTCAGTGGCCTGACTTGATCTGGAAATGTGGTTAGAGCCACAAGATCTAGCATAAATTAACGGTCAGGTAGGTATGCCCAATTTCAGCTTTCTGTGTCTTGCTTATTTTGATCATCTTCGCAAAAAAAATATCATATGGCCTCCCCTTGGTATAGGATTGAGAGTTACCTTAGTGTGCTCCGTCTAAAATCTATATTTCAAAGGGTCTCGGTCTCCGGGTTGATCTCATTTCATGGCTCACGCATTATATCCTAGCTGTCTGTATATTTTATCCTATGCGTCTCTGGGCGGCGGATGTGCAGACATTGCAGACTGTTCGAGTCGGATACAGCGCGGTCGCGGGATGCAGTGATGAGTCAGACCGTCGGGCACCGGGGTCGTCGATAGCACGAGGCGGACCGGACAGCGGGCGCGATTTCCTGCTTTTAGCATCGCAACGTTTTTACTTTACCTAAGCGGTGCGTCATGCACTTGCACTATTGCCCTTTTCCGTTGTTGATAGATGATAAGCGATGCATTATTTTACCATGGCGACCAGAGCTGATATTATGTTATTCCCTAGTTTGTTGTCTACACTTTCCAGTATGGAGACATGATGGCAGTGATGCCAAAATTCCTAAGGGGCCAGCTATCCACAACAGTATAAGAACATGCATTACATATAATAATTACTCTCAGGAATTGAAGCGGGATAGATAGGTAGGTACTTGACAGTTAGTTCTAATGCAAAGGCATGAGTTTGAAGTTGCACTCAGTGATAGCAAATACTTGTAGGTAACGCATAATGTGCAATGTGTAGTGTAAGTGATTTAGATGTTTGGCGCTGGCATTAAGTTCGTTCTGCAACACCTGAGCGAGCGGTTATTTGAGCGAACGGCATTTGAGCAAAACATTTTCAGCAATTATCAATATAAATTAAGGGATTGACACTTTGAGCGATTGTCAATTCAGCGAATTTGATTACAGCGATTATCAACTAGGCCGAGGACCAAAATCAGCGAGGCCAGTTCGAGCGAATATTTTGCAGTCAATGGGAGATTAACTGAGCGATTCCAGTTACCTACCTACAGTCAAATCGAACTCAGCGAAAATCATTTATGTCCTTTTCGAGGATTTTTGCCCGAGGAATAATCATCTCATATGCATCATGCTTCAGCCTTCCCCCGGTAAAGAAAAAGATTACCTACCTTTTTAACTGGAAAAATCCCAGAAATGTGTCCTCACTCCGTAACTTATTCATTGGGTTAACAACGTTTATTTATTTATTTATTTACTTCGTAGTGGCCGTCCCCTATCTATGACCGAAGTCAAAGAGGCTATTCTTGGCACTGAGTCAATAAAAGATGGTGATGAAGTGGGTAAAAGAACATCATGCTATGACCTAAAAAATTCTTAAAAATCACGATAAAAGCACACAACACAATGCACATACATATACATACATATCACACTTCGTCCGCACCAGACGTCAGTCGACGTTTCAGCTGGTTTCTAAACTCGGTGACGGTCAGATCAGTAAAGGCGGCGGGGAGAGCATTGTAGGTACAGCTCTGCGGAACGGCATGTAAACTGCCGCTTTCCCGCCGCCGTGCCGCGTATGTCAGGGAGACTCAGCAGGTTGTCACTGCGAGTGCTGCGCACATGGTTGGGCCGTTCGCGGTTCGTGCAGAACCGAGCAGCCAGAGACTCGGGCTGCCCAGTCTGACGGACCTTATGAAGCAGTGTGAACGTTATATTTTTTAAGGAAAACAATCACGTGAAACACAACATTTGATGTGCGATGGAATCTCCAAATATCAGCGACTTTCTCCGATGTCCTTCTCTCGATGTTGAATCTCCGAATGGCGAATACATTATCGGTTATCATTATAATCGTACCATTATTACCTATATCGGCAAATAATAGGGTCGAGATTCAGCCGTTGGAATTTTGAAAAGTGTAGCGCTAACTTTGGAGCAGAATGTAGTAGTTCTATGAACGTGACATCTGCCATGCCTACCGTCCCGGAAAATCGTTCCATTTTTACAATGCTTCGTCTGTCATTTATAACACGCAAACGTAAAAAATCTTACCAGGAGGTTAACCCTCGCCGGACCTATTGGTTTTTTACATACGCGCCGGCCGAGGGGGGGGGGGGGGCGGTACGACCCCCCCTCGCCGTTTCGCCCCTGGTAGAGCTAGCGCGTCGCGGAAAAAACGAGCGTGTGCGCCGTTACGAGACGCAGAGATTGGTACCCGATTTTAAGGTCCTAGGTCAACCGGTGACCTCTGTGGTCAGGTCAAGTGCCCCAAGGTACGGTTCAGTTTTTGGTGAATAACTTCGCAAAAAACGGCCGCAGAGCGCCAATTTTGGCAGCATCGTGTTCGCCTCGCTCAGGCGCGTCGAATGATATACTTTTTGTTTGGGTCAGGTCAACTTAGGGTGCTGACCTCAGGTCAAGGTCAGGTCAGCGCCCCCAGGTCACGAAGCTGGTCGAAAGAGGTCATGTCGCATATCATTCGATTCGGCATGTCTTCCTGAGTCCATTGGTGGCTTTCCCGACTCGCTAGCTCAATTTGATCGGAAGTTATTGACGAAAAACTAATATGACCTTGAGGACATCATAAATGACGTCACGCAAGGTCAACATTGCAAAAGTGACGCATCTAACCTTGCAAGGAGTGCATCAAATCACGATTCTGTGTGCTTGAGATAGTTGGAGATCGTTCCCGGCGCCGGAAAAGCAGTTTTCATTTTTTTTCCCATTGACTTATAATGCGAGATCACGAAAATGACCTGACCTCATATGACCTTTAGAAAAAATCCGAGATATACAAGTTGTGAGACTCATAATGGATACTAGATCCTGCATGTTTCATTTCCCTGTTACATCTCCTCTGGCAGTGAGGGCGTTGCGAAGCTGCGACATCTGAAGACCGTACAGAGGTTCACTTATGACGTCATAGGTCAGTGACCTGACCTGACCCGAAAATGCGGTTGGTGTCAAAAGATGCGGCTTGAATCAAAGGTCAGGTATGCCAGGTTTCAGCTCTCTATCGCTAGCGAGTTCGGAGCTATCGCGAAAAAAACCTATAAGGGGGGCGGCACCCGCCCCCCCCCCCCTCCCCCTCGGCCGGCGAGGGTTAAAGTATGTATTTCGCTCAGCATGACAATAGCTCAAATAGAAGTCGGCGAAATAGATGTCGCTGAAATAGGTATAGCTTTCGCTCACATTGATAAACGTCATATTTGATAATCGCTTAAATTGATAATCGCTGACATAACAGTCGCTGAAAATGGTTCGCTCAAATGACGTTCGCTCAAATGACACTCGCGAAAGTTGCTTGCATCGCGTTAAGTTTGCTCCTTCATTTCAGAACAATGCAGCACCTGCGGCTAAGCAGGTCCTGTCCGCCCTCGAAGAGGGAGGATTCAGACTGCACTCTGAAAACCTCAAGAGTATCTTGTTAGCCGAGAGCGTCGTCAACAAGCCCGTGGTGGTCATCTCGGTGGCGGGCGCGTTCCGCAAGGGCAAGTCGTTCCTGCTGGACATGATGTTGCGCTACCTGACGGCGCGCGACAAGTCCAGCTGGCTCTCCGAACCGAGGCGGCGCGGCTTCCCGTGGCGGAGCGGCCGCCGCCGGCACACCACCGGCCTGCTGATGTGGTCCCAGCCGGTCCCGGTGACCCTACCAGACGGCACAGAGGCGGTCATCCTCCTCATGGACACTCAGGGCACCTTCGACAACCAGTCCACCATGCACGAGTCGTCCACCGTGTTCGCGCTCAGTACCCTCCTGAGCTCCGTACAGATCTTCAACCTGATGGGGAACCTGCAGAACGACAACCTGGAGCACCTGCAGCTGTTCACCGAGTACGGTCGCCTGGCGCTGCAGGACGCCAGCAGCACTCCCTTCCAGAAGCTGCTCTTTCTCATCAGAGACTGGCAGTTCGCGCATGAGCTGCCGCTGGGCGCCAAGGGGGGCGACGAACTGGTCCAGGAATGGCTGGACTGTCAGTCTGGGAAACCCGAGCTCGTGTCAGTTTGTGAGCACATCAGGAAGTGTTTCAGCGAGATCGGCGGGTTTCTGTTGCCGCACCCGGGGCCGAAGGTGGCTGGTAGTGCCGAGTTCGACGGCAGCAGCGCCGACATGGACTCACTTTTCGTCACCATGCTGAATGAGCTGATGCCGAACATCCTGGCGCCAAAGAACCTGACCGTGAAAATGGTTGCTGGCAATCCCCTAACGGGAGGCGACATGTTCAGGTTTTTCACCACCTACACAAAACTGTTTCAGAGCGATGCACTGCCCAAGCCTAAAAACATCCTGCAAGCGACCGCTGAGACAAACAACATGGCTGCAGCTGAAGAAGCCAAGTCCCTATACGCTCGTGAAATGGAGTCCATCATCCGCAGCAGCCGGACCTCACTATCACGGGAGATCTTTCTGCGAAAGCATCGAGAAACATCTCAAAAGGCTGAAAAAGCCTTCTGTGGTCGCAAGAAGATGGGAGACTGGGCAATGTCTGAACGGTATCGACTGGAGCTGATGCGCGACATTGGGGAGCGTTTTAAACGTTTTGATGAAGCAAACAACGTGAAACGAGGCAAAGAGAGGCTGGAGGCCGAATCCTGCAATGCCAAACTGGTGATCACATGCACGACGCTGTACGTCAGCGAGATGAGGTCGGTCTCAGACGACCACTCTGACTTTGTGCCGCAGGAGATCCTAAACAGCGCCCATGTGAGGATCAAACGGAAGGCACTTGGCCACTTCAACACCAGTCATACACCATTTGACGGCGTTGAGAAGGCAAGCCGAGAAAAGCTATCCTCAGACATGGAAACTCAGTTTCGTAAGATAGTGATTCACAACGACGTGAAGAAAGACGCTACGCACCGCAGGATCGAGAGCCAGAACATGCGGGCTGTGGAGGGCGCCAAGAGCTGCTACCACTCGATGATGACTGAGAAGACGTCCAAGGGTGCACTGAGCCCTGAGGGGCTGCAGATGCTCCACGAGATCGCACTGCATACCGCCGAGGGAATATTTGAGTCGCTCGAGGCAGGCGACGAGTGCTCAGCGGCCCACCACCTGGAGAGCCTTCGAGACGACATCAACAGCGACCTGGAGTCGTACGTTCGTGACAATCAGCGGAAGGGGGAGAAAGAACAGCTCGAGAAGGAGTTGCGATTGAAAACTGAGCAGAGAGTGAGAGCGATAACGGTGCAAGTGACCCGGCCTCCACCTGCAGACGAGTGCATCTTGCTGTAGGTGATGTAGGTATTAAATAACTGGCATGCACGAGCATTTGTTCATAAACTAATGGAATTACCTACCGTTGGACTACTGGTAAATGTGACTCTAACATAGCTTAACTTTGTGATTCTGTGCATACTTTTACTGCCCGTCTGATAAAGGCGCTGGGGGGAGGGGGAGGGGGCGATGAAACCTTCATGCAGTGTGATGTTCGAACGGTTTGTATCATTTTATGAATATATTGTACATAATGATCCGTAGCAATTAGCATTCCGTTATAACATCACGTTACGATTCAGTGTTACCAATATAAATAGACGGACGCAAGTTGCATAAAAAAACACACACACACACACACATTACCAGCGGTCGTTCGTCCAAAACCATCACCAACTGAGCAATGTCGCGGGCGCCTCGGTGTCTCAGATTATCGCTCTGTCGTCTGCCGCCTCTCCCAGTCTTTCTGCGCCGGTCAGCGGCGGTCAGCGGCGGCAGCGAGCGCGGCCAGCCTGCCCGGCGCGCCCATCACGCCCCCGCCCGGGTGGGAGCCGCTGCCGCACAGGTAGAGACCGGCCACGGCGGTCCGGGGGCCGGGCCGGCGCGGGCTCGGCCGCGACAGCCACAGCTGGTCCAACGACAGCACGCCGTGGAAAATGTTCTGCAACAGGGGAGGAAAATGAAGGTACGATCTACTGAGCAGTGGCCGGTAGCGAGTGTGATTTGGCGGCGATTAGACTCAAGCACTGACAATATGAATGACATGCTTGGTCACGATAAAAAGATGTTCTGATGATGTGTAGGTAATTATGTAATGAAGTTATATCATTAGGTATGCGTCGTGCAAACTGATCGTACTTACCCCACCAGTGAGGCCAAACGTTTCCTCGATATCGGGCGGCGTGAGAACCTCTTTACCGACGACGCTGGCCTTGAAACCGGGCGCGTATTCTTCGATAATATCAAATACCTGTGAAACGGGGATGTTAGGTTGTTAACCCTTTATCATGGGTTAACGCCTAACCTAACGGTTCACAAGATTTGCACACATCAATTACACGTAGGTCGTCTTCCAATTGCGATGATCATAGTCATATTTGAGTCGTCATCTCGTAAACAATGCCACGCCCGAACAACAAATTATGTTATGAATAACAATAGCTTGGAAGATGTGACGATCCCCGCTGCCACTCACCGCGCCGGCGTAGGCCTCCCTGCTCCCCTGGTCCCACGGGCCGGCGGCCGGCGAGTACGGACAGTACTGGGTGAACAGCAGGCACACGTGGTGGCCGGGAGGAGCCAGGGTGGCGTCCAGCGACGACGGAATCACCATCTCTATCATCGGCCTGAGGGAGGAATCACCATCACTATATACCAGCTGTCCAGGGCCGGAATCAAAGCAATATGGGGGCGGAATCACCATCTATAACAGCGGTGTGGGGACAGAAACACATCGGATTGGGGACGGAATCACTACCATGCAGTAATACTCCCCTGTCTTGCACTGACCTGACCTCTGTGCTCGCCCCACTGTCCTGACCTTTTGGAGGGCCGGCCGGCGGCGGCGTCCCTGTAGGCGCTCTCCAGACACTCGGTGGTCTCCGAGTTGAGGTGGATGGTGCAGCGGTGGTGCGGCATCGGCTCCGAGTCCGACACGTTTGGGTCTGCCAGGAAGTTGGGCAGACGGTCCACCGCCACTGCATGGTGAACAGTGGCAGATCAGTGCCGGTCAAGGGACGATGTAGCTATGTATGACATTGATTAAACCGTGAAACAACGCGAGTATGAATGTAGTAAGTAAACACCACCGCATGCTGTAACAATAAATGACATGCATATTTTGTAACAGACTTCATAAAAATTTTGCGCAACTACCACGAACCGATAAGATAAACACCTCACGACTCTATATTGGCAAGGATTAAAACACTCATCCAATTTGGCGGCCGGCACTGACCGTTTATCTTGCAGACGGGAGACGTGTAGTCGATGTTCTCCACAGCCGCCCTGTACTCAGCCGGCACGTCTGCCGGCTCCATCAGCCGCTGGAAGGTCACCTGGGGCGTGGCGTTGGAGAGCACGCGCCGACTGCGGACCTCTCGACCATCAGCCAGCGCCACTCCGGTCACCGCGCCCCGGGCCGTGGTGATCTGCGACACCGGCTGCAGGGGGAGGGCGGGCGGGGAGGGAGCAGAAGCAGGTGAGGTGCGGCGAGTTTTTAGCAACCGTACCTATCTGTCAGTCAATAGCCCTGAGCCTGTACATACATATAACTGCTGTCAAGTGACTACCAAAGCTTCAGCTCAACAGTCAACATCGATCCATATCGTGAGGTTTAATCAAGGTTTGAAACCACGATTGATCCATAACAGGAAATTTTAATTATTGGCTCCTCATACCATCCATATACGTCCCGTAGAAATATTTGGCTGACCCACAAGCCTGACCTGCAGGTGTATACCTGGTTGACGAAGACGTGGGCGCCCCTCTCGAGGGCGGAGCTGCAGATGGCAGCACTGACGGCGCCCATGCCACCCTCCGGGTACGCCCAGGCGCCCTTCACGCCCTCAATCTCACCGGCCACGTGGTGCAATAGGTTGTACCTGTGGTCGGAACGGACAGTCAGTCCAAAGCTACATGCATGATTCATGAACATATGTAACTACAACTATTCACCACGTCACCGGTCACTGCCCTCTCGACGCAGTCGGTGCCCTTTAATTTCACATTTCTCAGCACACTTATTCCACTATTCAGCCGTTACATTGTCATATCAGCAGGCAGCAGATAGGACAATGGATGACCAGCGCCAAACACCCTCCAGCACCCCGTCTGACGCACCCGCTGCCGGGGGTGTTAGGTCCCATCATAGCCCCGATCAGGCTATCCGTGGCCAGGGTGGCCTTCAGCGGCTCCGACTCGAACCACTGGTTCAGGATCTTGCCGCTAGGTGCCGTCATCAGCTCGTAGAAGCTGAGAAGATCCGAGCCCAGCGCCCGACCTGCAAATAAAACGATGTCCGTCAAGGCAGCCTAAAGTTTGGAACAGATGCTCTTGAGTTTTTTCCTTTACACTATTTTTTGCCATGCTAATTGCCGCTAATCTCATGATCTTGTGAAAGTTGCGTTCTGACCAGTGACCGTTCAATTAGGCGCATCCCTTTTTAGCTCAGTGAGCTCCGATTTCACAGCGCCGCCGGCAGCGAACAGACCTGCCTTCAGGACGGGCCGCAACTGGCGCAGCTTCGCCAGCCGCTGGCGCAGTGAGCTGCCCTCCCAGGATGTGAAGTCGGGCGGCGGTGCGTCCAGCAGAGGGTCCAGCGCGGCTACAAACCGGCTCAGCTGCGCCTCGTAGGCGCCGAACCTCTGTGGGGGCGAACAGAGACGTAGCGTAGACGGTAAAGGTTCAGGTCTGCGCTGAGTATGGAGCGAGCGGAAAGAGGCTGGGGAAACATCGAATAGACATTTATGGGCCTCCTGACAGGTATGGTTGCGGTTGGTGGCAGGCCGTAGCCAGGCGAAGTCAGCGAGGGGACCGGCCGTGCGCGGCTTTGTGCGCACGTTAAACTTTGGACTCTAAATTCTGCCATAGAATCGGAATTGCGCGATCGGAGGGTAGAGGGCAGGGTCATCGCAACAAGCTTCGCTTGGCGGTGGCTCTGTCCTTGTGAATCCTTCCCATCAAAAGGTTCGGACAAAATTTATATAAAAAAAACACTTGCGAGCGCAAGTAGAGCTATGTAGGGGAGAGTGGTGCAGGAGGCCCCCCCTTAAGCTCAGTTGCTATTATTTGACAACTGATAATATTTAAGAGCTAACGTGTGCATGCGCTGTGAGCATGCATCATTTTCCCATACATATTTGCATTCAAAATGAATCTAGGGGGTACACAAACCGTAAACTTTAACATTTTGGAAAAAGTTGCAAAAGGGCCTCTTACACTATGGGTATGGTAAGACGCCCCCCCCCCCTCGGGCGTTTTACAAGTCAAGTCGACTTGTAAAAGACGCTTTGCGAACCAGGGCCTCGGCTAAGGAATTTTGACTACTGGGGCAAATGGTCGAAGTGTGTTAACCTGCGCCCTGCTGGGGGGTGGGGGTGTTTGAACACCCCCCCCCCCCCCACCCACCCTTTGCGGTTTTCCGCGGATATCTCAAAAACGGCGGCCCACCAACTCTACACATGTTGTAATAAGTTCAGACCAAGATCATTCAAGGTCAGGTCACCAGGTCACTTCAAGTGACCTCATAAAATGTTTCAATGTATGCCATAGCTACACCGAATGACCGATCGCTTTGAAACTTTCAGCGATTGATAAAGACAACAGTTAGAGCACTTCATGGATAGGATTTTCAGGATCAAGCCCGGCCTATATCCAGCAAGTCACGCAGGTCCGCCCATTATCTGTCTTTCTTTGAATTTCAGAATCCGGCCCGCCCATGGCCCATGGCCCATGGCATATTTCAGCCATCCAAATTTCCATAATAATCCGTTTAACCAAAACTGGTTGTTGACTATCACAAATTCACTGTAAGGGACCAGATAACCATATATCTCACAGACTCACGGTTCACAAAGGCATGCTTATAAATCGCATGTAGCTAAATCAATAAATACCTCTGCTGCTGTTTGACAAGTTCAGTTAATTTTTTACATGAATATCGAATGCTATAATTTTATCTGTTCTTATCCGTTTTCAACCTTCAATTCCCATATCCGATCTATTTTTTTTCAAATTTGGGATCCAATCCTATCCGGTCCATGGATTTATCATGGATAACGGAGCTATCCGGCCCATGAAGTGCTCTAGCAATGGCAACAGTATGTACAAAATTTATATCGGCATTTTCATATCGGTGACCTCAGGTCATTTTTGCGTCTTCTAGGTATTATAAGTCAATGGGAGAAAATTTAAAACCGCCTCTCTTGGACGAAAGTCATTCTAAACACTCTCAAACACTGAATTACAAGTAATTTTGACACACTGAACATGAAAATGCCATCCATGACCGTGTTTATACCTCTGAGGTCATTTCAGGTCACAAATGGTATCTAACAGTTTTTCGCGACTAACTTTTGAAAGAGGCATGCTAGAGCGATGAAAACGCCTAATATGTGTTCAGCTCGACGATACGGATCCACTGATATGCAACATGACAATTTCCGGTCAGATCAAGACCTTGACCTGAGGTCAAATTTTCAAGTTGACTTTTCAAGATCAAATTATAAATCGATGCGTCTTGACGAGAGGAACACGATGTCGGTAAAAGAAAGCTCGTGCAAGGCTTGAGTCAAATTCGATATTGAAAAAAAAAAAACTTCCCGAAAAATTTGTCTATTTTGGAAGTTTCTGCCCCCTGCAGGCAAAACCGTTGACGTTAGGTCAAATCTGAGAGAAATACTCAGAAAAAAACGCTAATATGGCTATCAAATGCGCTTTTCCGCAGCGCTGTAGCTCTATTGGTTCCCGAGTCATGCGTCGGCATCTTGCAAATTGTCGATATTCGACCTGAAATTCGGCGAAATTTGGCCTTCAATGACCCCCATGACCTGACCTTTAACTGACCAAAAAAGTGACCGAAGTAGTTTCATCATTATTTTTGACGCTTTTTCGAACGAAGGGTAGCTTATGGATTATGGAGGTGCAAAAAGGTATGTTTGGCAATGCACGCCTATGTTTTTGGATGGTAATTGAGGGTGCAGCTGCACACCATGCACCCTCTCTTCCGCCGCCCATGATTTCTTGCCATTAACGTCTTCAACCGCTCCCGAGTGAAAGAATGTACGTTAATATTAAGATATTATCATTTTGTAGAGGTTGGGCAAAACCTGACCACTACTGGGGCATTCCTTGACTCTACTGGGGCATTTGCCCCAGTAGTTAACATGTTAGCCGAGGCCCTGTTGCGAACACAGCTGCAAGGCCTTTTATTTCGAAAAGCTAAGCAAATACGGTGTTATCGAAACCAATAACACTTCCAAAGCGCTCGAACAATGCGAAAACTAGCACAACCAAACGCTGATGACCAACGAAAATTGTACCTATTACCTCTAAGAAAGGAAACAGAAAAAAGAAACAAAAACAAACTCCTTGAAAAAAAGAATGCCACGCCTGCCGCAGGTGCAGGCGTTTTAGCATCGGGGGCGTTTTTTTATCGGGGGGCGTTTTATCATCCTCGAAGGGAGGGCCTCTTAAAAAAATGCAGTGTTTTAACGTCACAATATTTATGGTTTATGAGACATTTGCAGCGCACCAGAACATGGTCTATTCTGAAGCTAACATGTGACAATTTCGATGAGATAAGATTGCATTTGATAGCCATTGTTTTTTTCAGATATATAAGGGTGATAAAGATGCATATATCTAGCAAGTAAAGGGGCAAAAACAGAAACAAGCTTACCAAAAGTCGCTGCGACGCACCTGATACCTCAGGTTTCGTGAGTTGTTGTTTCAAGAGGGCTTCTGCTTTACAAGAACATTAAAAAATAAATAACATTATTGGTTTGGTAAAAAAAGCGATGGGGCCTCTTACCGACCCTGGGCGTCTTACACGGATCTCCCCTATGTCAAACCCAGAGCCCCATGGCTCTTCATGGGAGACCCGTCATAACTCGACCTGACCTGGCACATGACTTGACGTGATCCAACACTGAAAGAAAAGTACACCTTGGTGGTATTTTTGGGTGATATTTGTAACCACTTTACACCACTTTCTAGACTAATTGTACCACCTTTAACCGAAAATTCAGAGTAAAAAGATGACTAGGTGCATTTTTACTCAACTTAGGTGTAATTTATACAGTACTTTAGGCTTTTCTTGCAACTATGGTGTAATTTCATGTTCTTATGTTTTTACACCTCAGCCTTTTGGTAGTAAAATTATTACCCAAGGGTAGTTTGAATCTCATGCGGATAATAAATGGCTAGTTGGTAGCATAAATTTACACTAGCGTGGCTCAGCTGATTACCGCAAAACCTAAATGGAGTAAATTTACACCGTGGGCTTGATGAGCGATGGATTGTTAGGTGTGGTTTTATGCTACATGGTTATTTCACTCTTCAAGGATATATTTTTACAGCTTGGAGCGTTATTTTACAACAGTGTTCCACGTGGCCATTTTAACCGCCATTTTGAATCGCCATTTGCATGGTGAACTGTGAAGCGTGGGGTGGCGTGGATGAAGCGCGGCAGTTCCCTATACACCGTGCATACTGCATATATCGTGAAGCGAGGCCTCCGGTGCGGCGAAGCATGCAGTGTCTGCTAGACGACCAAAACTGCGGCAAGCAGTGAACAACAAAGGTAAGGCTTTAAATGTATCTTTTGGCTAGGTATAGGCAAGGTGAAGGATGTTGCCGCATTGGTTATGATGCGCACATATGCAAGATCCCATTCAGTCTGCGTGAAGACCATGACCGATTTGAAGCTGCATCACAATTGTCAATCATTAACCCGCGCCCCGTAGGGCTATCAGCGAACCCTGCCACCCGTAGCCCCCCCCCCTAAGATCTCGGAAAGTCACCGGCCGATTTTCAAAATTCAAACGGTGTTCGAAAGCCCCACCAAGGAAGTACCTTGTGACTTAATTTCATTGACCTCGGTCCAACCGATGACGTCACAGGTCAGGTCAAAGGTCGCATTTTTACCACTTACAGGCATTCCAAGAAATGTATTGTAAAATAGAGTAAAAGGCATGTTATTAAAAATCATGGATGGATAATTGTCTGTCGAACACATTTTGCTATTAGAGGTCACTGATACTAGGTCAGGTCATAGAGGTCAGGTCACTGAGGGCCACGATATGAAAGTGTCGTTTGATACATGTTTCATGGTCCATTTTACATGACAAATGTGATTGTGTGGATTAGGCAACCTTTGGGGCCATTTTAGGTTATGTTCTGGGAAAGGTCAGGTCAAGGTCAGGTCAAATTAGGTCAAGTTTCAAAGTTGATATTTTGCATAAAATGAGTAATGATTCGATGCAACTCGTCACGGGGAGTCTAATGGTGGTCTTTGTATTGAGCTACGTGATCTAGAATTACTAAAAATTGAGTTTGAAAATATGACCTCATCAATTTTGAAGTTTTCTCTCTACAACTTGGCCAAAAAAGAGGTATCGATCTCAAATTTGGTGTGTGGATGGAAGATAGTAGGGACTATCATACAAATTCCGTTTTTTCAATCCGGAAATTTTTTGGGATTTTTTGTTATTATATCCAAAAAATAACTTTTTGGATTTTGGGGGTCAAAAACCAAAAGTTACGAAAATCTGAGATGACAGATTGATAGCCCTGGTAATTCTATACCTTCTATGCATTAAACATTTTTCTGTATCTTCAAAGCTGTATAGCCTGACAGCTCTTCCCGCGATTTTTTTTTGTTTTTTTTTGTCGAAAATGACAGAAAATGACGTCATTCTGACGTCATTTGTGGCCAACCTATCGTAGCCTTTGAAAAAAATGATCACAATGTGTAAAATTGATGTTCGGAGGGGTTCTGAAAGTTTGATGACGATATCTGCAGTCGTTTAGGAGATATTCACGGAAAAAGACAGGGAGGGGCCGTTTCGCCCCCACCCCCATCCCCCTCCTACGGGGCGCGGGTTAATAAAAATTATGCAAGACTAGGTACAGGCACGTAGTCAGGATTTTGCTCAGGTTGGGCCACAGGTCGCGGCCTGGTGTCGTACCTATACCCCCTCCAAAAAAGGAAAACTTCGGATTTCGCCCACTATTTTCGGGGTGTGTGGTGCAGCTGATTTTTTTTACTTTATTTCATTTTATGTTTGGCCATCAGGGGGACCATGGTCCCTGTGACCCCCCCCCCTTGGCTAAGTCCCTGACTAGGTAAGGTGTTTTAAGGTTTTCAATATTTTCATTAACAGTCATACTTCTTATCGATTCAAGCGGGAACATTTTTTTCTGGTATTTATTATTATTCCATCATTGACTGCATTGTGCCTAAAAGGCTATAGGGGTATTACCTACTATATCAGACGTCCAACATGCTAACATGCGTCTAGCACGTCTAACAATATTTGTTTTCCTTCCATTTCAGTCGTGGCACGACCTGACCCCTGATTATGGGGACTAGTGAGGAGCCAAATGAGTTAAAGGAAAGAGTCGTCAAGAACATCCAGCAAGTGTGTGAGTAGCGTGGGGGGAACGGTGGTTGCGGGGTCATTGGTTACTTTATATATGTCCCTCTTAGTCTTCACAGACCAGCTACAAGCGTTGGCATTTTGGCCTCTCTCTGATCCCGGCGAAATTAGCACACTATATTCATTCATGACTTAAAGATGCGTAATTATAATTAAACTTTACCTGATTTGTCATTTTGATTCTATCCGTATACACATGTCTGATGTATCTTTACTCAACAGTAAAAGTAAATCTACGTATTGCATCCTGAACCGGTGAATACATGCAGTCAATTTATATCTCAGCTGCACCACGGGAGGGCAGCGAGCCGCGCTCCTGACGGGTCCCAAGGGGCTGAGGCTTCAACGGTAGTAAGTAACCCCACACAGATTTTTATCCTCCGGGCTCCGCTTTGTCGGGAAATCTATCACTGCTAGTTACCTACTTTATTTCCCTCCTCACAGGTGACGAACTGGTGGCGCTACTCGCCTACGGACGCTGGGCGATCTCAAGAACGAGCAGAGCTCCGTGAGTGTTCACTTCTTCAGTCGTCCCGCCTCAACGTTCAGGGAGCACTGGGCCACTTTAAGCTGTCAAAGTCAAAGGTCGGTGAAGTTGCCACAATCCTTGCAGCCCATGCCCCCATGTTTTGTCTTCCGTTCCGTGGACCATGCAAGCATATATGTACCTATTCGAGGTGCTCTACAAGAAAGCCCTATAGTTCGTTTTTCTTAAGTTCGACCCTCACTGTAAACATCTGTTTGAACACAGCACGAGAATTGCTAGCTGAACTACTTAGAAAACTGGTTAGCGCACATTGAATTAGAGGTATGAATAATATTTTCAAAATAGGTTGTGAACACTGATGATGTACCGTTATGTTAAGGGGACCCTCCCTTCCCACCTTCAAAAAAAATTATGAATTGGCATGAAAGTGATGTCGCTCGGTTCAGAAAGAGCGAAAACGAATATCTACTAAATTTCACCGAAAAATATTCACCGGTTTTCAAGATATTCGACTTTTACTTTTGTTTACTTTTTGGGATCTCCGCTGTTCCTAGCCAAGATTCCTTTACTACTCAGGTTGGTTCACTAGGGAAATAAAGGCGCCGTGGTAACGTAATCAGAGGAAATCCTTCATATTCAAATGAATGGGTCATTTGAATTGCTAATTTTTGCTCGATATAGTCCTACTTTTTTAGTTTCAGTCCCATTTATCGTAATGAGGCGAATTCATTGTTACATTGGTACATCTTTTGATGACATATAAGCCTTGATTTTATCTCCAGCTCGCCCGAAAGATGATGAAATTTGCATGCATGCCTATGGGTGAAGGGAGATTCTGCCGCCGTGGTGACGTCACGGTAAAGGGATTCTGGAGCTCGTGAACGGGGGCTGGTTCCTAGCGACTTTATTTGGAAGCAATAGTTTGGCAGCTGAAAGTGCGGCACTTGTTGCGCGCAAAGCAGCATATACCACCGCGTGCTACAAAACGTTTTAGTCAAACATTTAAAAATCGTTAGATATCTGCGCTGACGTCACACATTCAGAGGGGTATTCCTATGCATTAGCCCCTCTGAATCAAAATGCTGCAATTTTGAAATTCAATATTTCCGATTTCAGGCATTTCTCGATGTTGTGAGTGCCGAAACCGGTAGTTGTGAGCCAGGGACCCCATTTTGGCTATCTCAACTCAAATCTAATGTTAAGGTGGGAGGGTCCCTTTAAGCGCCGCAGGATTTATCAATTAGTTAAGTTATAATTCCTGAGAAGTCGTCCATCTTTGTGTGGTTGTAAACATGGGCAAATACGAGCTACAAGTCTGGGAAGTAGGAGCCAGATATAAATAATTTTGATACAGTTGATCACCTGTGAAATAAATGTGCGCCAACCAGTTTTCTCAGTAATCCAGCCAGCAATTTTCGTGCTGTGTTCAAAGAGACGTTTACAGTGAGGGTCGAACTTAAGAAAAACGAACTATAATTATCATCAATATTTCACTAAGTAAAGCATCGCAGAAAATAGTGTGCTCCCTGGCTGAGTAGAGTGCAAGATGCGCGTGCGAGTATACTGGCAATTGCGGTACGCCACCCTAAATGTCATGCCGGAACTCGGAAGCTCAGATTTATCACTGACCCACACACGAAGAGTGTATACTGCGTAGTCTGCGTGCGTTTCATGTTTCAAAGTTTTTCATGTTCAAGGGCCAAGAGTACAAAGTACAGGGTGGCGCACGCAAAACACCCGATTTGAGGCTTTAATGACTTCCATCATTCTTAACCGAATTAGATACTATTTTCACACAGCGTAGATACACAATTGGAATGATATTCATCCAAGTCTTAGACAAATCCATTCACGTTCAGCTCAGTTGTTCACCTCGACGTGACCCCTATCGTTTTCATCACTTTCTCGAGGCGCTCGCGGTACGCAAACGCTGCTTTCTTGCGCATTTCGACGGTGATCTTTGCAAAGGCGGCTCTGATCCGACCTTTCAACACCGGAAGGTTCGCCGGCCGCGTTACGTATACCTTCGACTTCACAAGCCCCCACGTGAAAAAATTCACACGCGTGGTGAGGTCGGGCGAGTGCGATGGTCAGGGCACTTTAGGCGAAGCCCAACCTCACCACGTGTGAATTTTTCATGTTGTGGTTTGTGAAGTCGTAGGTATACGTAACGCGGCCGGCGAACATTCCGGAATTCCAAGGTCGGCTCCGAGCCGCCTTTGCAGAGATCACCGTCGAGATGCGCTAGAAAGCAGCGCTGGCGTACCGCGAGCGCCTCGATAAAGCGATGAAAAACGGTAGGAGGCACGTCGAGGTGCAACACTGAGCTGAACGTGAACGTATTTGCATAAAGCTTGGAAGAATATAATCCCAAATGTGTATCTAACTACATTGTGTTAACCCGCGCCCCACTGGGAGGGGGGGGGGGCTATTTATAGCCCCCCTCTCGTTTTTCTGCAATATCTTCAAAACCGCTGGACGTGTCAACACGAAACTTTCAGGACCTTTGCCTGCATCGATTTGACACCTTGTGTCCGAATAAAAACTTTCTAGCTACCATAGGTCGGCCGCAAATGACGTCAGAGTGACGTCATGTCCGTCCGGTTTTGATGCAAAACATTGAACTACGGCAATCGCTTTCAAGAGCTCAGTTTTTAAGATAGATCCGATTTCTTTGCATAGAATGACTCAAAACACATTGGACTATCAAACTGCTATCTCTGATTTTTAAAATTTCGATAATTTTGAAAATTATACATATGAACTATCAAAAATTTTAGATTGGTAATTTTTAAGACAGTTTTTGCTTTTTCGGAAAAACCGATACATTTGTGATAAAACACATACCAGTGACCTACTCTAGGACGTTTTAGCCCGATATCCTACAAAATAGCCAAGTTATATGCTTTATAGTAAAAATATCCGTCATTATCAAATTTTCAAATCAATTTTTAGCACGTTTTTGACATCGTACACCAAAATAAATAGCACCATCGTGTTTCTGAGCTCAAACTGCATCTGATAGATACCTTTTCTGTTGAAAATTTCAACTTGAAAATTTGACCTTTTTGACCTGAAAATGACCTGACCTCAGCTTTTTCAGCTGAAAATGGCCTGATATGACACAGACGACACTGATTTCGCAATCTGGCCTAAATGGACCATAAAACATGCGTCACGTGACCAATTAAATATAATATTTCCGTGACCTAGGATGACCTTGCCGTGACCTGAAAAATTCAACAAGTTTGGTACCCTCAGGGTATCTTAGGCATGTATTCATGAGTGTGTAAACCAAAAATGAGCCAGATCCGACTTTTGAGACGGCGGCCAGAGCCCAAATAGTTAACAAGCCAAAACGTCGATAAATTTTACTTTGACCTGACCTGTGACGTCATCGGTGACCTCGAGGTCAATAAGAGTAGGTTCCGCTCGACAGTTGTTCCTGGGCTATCAGACGCCGTTTGAATTTTGACAATCGGCTTAGTAGTTTCGGAGTTAGGAGGGGGGGGGGGGGGTCGGCGTTATTAAAAGACCCCAGTGGGGCGCAGGTTAGTATCATTCAATTTGGCTACCTATGATGGAAGTTATTCAAGTTTCACATTGGGGGTTTTACGTGCGCCACCCTGTACATAGACCAAGGTGATTGTGTGGTTTGTTACTGTATGTGACTAATGTGTCTGTGATTTAACGTAGTCAACCTCATCGAGATCGATGCGAGTGATTGAACTGTGAGTGATTGAACTATGATCAATACATAATATGTGATAAACATGATTTTTCTTAATTACTATTACATTGGTAGCAATCACGTTTTATCGCACCGACTGGAAGACATCACTGTTTTATGGTTTCATAATTTCGGATCCCTCGTACAACGCGTTCACAATGCGTATCCTGACCATAGCGTATCTGACATCCCATGGTTACACGATATGTACTATCTGAAATGGTCATTGCATGCCATCTGTTTGACTTCACCATTAACTTTGGTGCAAAGTATATATAAGCAGACGATATACCATTACATTGCAGCGTAGGCATAAAAATACACCAGAGGGTAAACTGAAATAGTGGTGTATATTTAACTCGGGGTAATTTTACTCTAAAACTTTTCAGTCATAGAATTATCTTTCTGAGTTTTTGTTTCACACTGAAAAAAACTTACACCTAGAGAGTTATTTTTGGAGTTTTTCCACTCCAGTTTGGCGAATAATCACGTACCAATGGCATATAATGATTATGTTTTGTAGCGTATTCTTACTCTCTGCATTGCATTAAGGGCGTTTTTGAAAGTTATTCTTAAACCTGGTACTATAATCATCTCTTTTGTGTTTTAGCAAGTGGTAATTTAATCTTCTAATTTTATCACGTGTCCTTTTTATTCTTTCGGGTTATAAATTTATATCAGTCTCAAAGAGGCATGGGGTAATTTTAGCTTATTTCACAGTGATAAACAAGGTCATTGGAATATATTTGTGCTGAACTCCCATTAGATGGTAATAAAATTGACAGCTACAGTACTTTTATCAAAACTGCATAAAAATAAACCGCTGTGGAGTAATTAGGGTAATTTTTATACTCCATTACGGCTGATAAATTGACACGACAGAATAAAACTATTCTCATGTAGGTGTAAAAATTACTTCCTTCGTGATAAAACTATGATGTCCGGACAATAATTTTATAACCATGGAGTAATATTATGTGGTAGCATTACTAACATTATTCTTCGGGAGTATTCGGGAGCGTATTTCAAGTAATACTGTATCACTTTCTTGATAATCCTATTCCGTTGTGACATAACTAATCTAAAAGTGATTAATCTATTCGTCCAGCACAGTATTATTCCAAGAATAATATTTTCGGAATGTCTCTTCAGTTCGCGACCATTCGCGACCGCCATTGTGCTCAAGTCGTCAAAACCAAGGCCTTCTGTCAGAGAACCGAGCAAGCGTCCCAGTCCTCGAAGGTAAGCTGAAATTACTTTTATACTTTGTGTTTTGTTAGTATGACTTTACAGTAATCCGTAGTATGACCATACAATCCAAGAAATGCGTTGACGTAGATTTGCGGACGAAGATTTCCGCGATGATGAAATTCTGGAAGACAAATTGTCAAAACAAATTGACAAATTGTTGTTACAAACAAACAAAACAAATTGTTAAAACGGTCATATCCGGACATCTACTTTTTGTTGTTTCTATCCTCCCAATATCACGATAGAAGAAAACACGTTTAATGAACGTATTTATATCTTGTTCAGTGTTCACTGCCTGATAAAGCTGTCCATGAAATTAAAAAAAAAAAACGGTTCTTTTCTTTCTCAAAGGTGACTCTGCGGAAGAACAGCTTCCGACAGAAACTTCGGAACAGTCAACAGATTCAAGAACTGTCGAAAGCCACTGAGCATTGAGCAACGCCGTCATCGACACGGAAAGACGAGCCA